ATAATAAATAAATGTTTATTTATACATATATAGAGGGGGAAATATATTCGACTTTTGTCTACTAACTTCACGCAGAAAATGCAGTTGGAGTTGACTTTCTAGGCGTATTTATAGACTATGAGCCAAATATAAACGAATTTCTTTGTACTTAACACATTTTTATAGCTTTATGCTGTCATGTGTGTGTATGTTTTTTTTTTTTTTTGTGATTTTTGTTGAATCTTACTACTATAAAAATGTGTACAATTGCATGTTGTACAACACGAAAACAAGTCAGCAAAACACTTTTGTTTTTTCTTTCTTTTATTTTTTGCTGTTTTGTTCCCGTTTAAAAAATTGTATTTATATCTATATACATACATATTAATAACTGTCTGTTTATATGCAAATAACTAACGAATGTGAGCTTGAGGGAAATGACTCTTAATAGGTGTGTACGTACATATGTATATATGGGTGTATGAAATGCATTCCCATCTCTAAACAATGACAGTCCTTGGCGCATATATAAATACATATGGATATATTACTCTCTCCAATCTCTTGGAATTTTATTTGGAACTAAATACATACACATACGTTTGAATATATATAAAACTTTTTGCTGATTTTTGTAAAAACTAAATTGCGCAACAAATGAGAAAAAACGAGACACTGAAGTGAATGATAAAGGTCGCCAGCGTTATTTTTCTTAAATTAAGTAGTTAAACTTTAAATAAAAACAGAAAATTAAAAATACTAAATTTTAGTTGTGTGGAATAAAAAGTGTTTTATTTGTAAATGGATACAATCTAAGATACTGAAACAAGCAAAAAAGAGATAGAGACAGCGAGAAAGCCAAGAACTATCTGGTTATTTAGGGAATACGAGTTCCAGTCGGAAATATGGGTGTAGGTGCGGGAAAAGGAAGACGACGAAGAGAACGCAGGCGAACACAGTGCTGCCAGCAGCAGTCGGACGCTCGGGCAGGTGGCAGGCAGTCGGGGTAGAAAGGCCAGTGAGACAACCCGCGTGCGGTGCTCTCTGGTTGGTTGGTCGCCAAACGGTTTGTTTGCACTCCCGCCGATTCGTTGCTGCTGCTGCTGCTGCTGTTCGTCATTTGGCCGAGACTCTTTGCAACTGCACTTTTGTTTTTTTTTTTKTTTTTTTTTTTTTTAAATTCATTTGGTCGCTAGTCCGGGACTCCTTCGCTCCCATAAAAATGGCGAGCACTGCACACATACATACACATACGCAGCCTAGCCACTAGCCAGCCAACGGCAGTTCTGCGAATCGTCGGACAAATGAGATTGCGATAATAGCAGCTCTGTGTGTGTGTATTTGTATGTGTGTATGCGTATAGAAGGGATAAGAGAAATGTGAATATGGAAAGCGAAATGGACGAGGGTCTGTGGCCGATGGCTCTTGTAGAAGAGAGGAAGTACAAGAGAATCCCTAAAAATAACCACACACACATACATACACAAGTATATGCAGCATATATTCAGGCATATGTATGTATGTACATAAATTCATAAGACATTAGCCATTCCATTTATAAAGCTGGGAGCAACTTATGTCCACCAAATTATAGTGAACAAGAAGTATGTTTTTAACATTCTCTACGTAGTAACGCAAATTCCGAGTAACAGCACGAGTGTACGTTTGTTGCAAAAAACTGTACTATCTTATCTACGCTGATTTTGCCAACAAAGTTCTTCACTTGTCTCGACAAAAACTTCTTCAAACTTGCATTTTGAGCCGCATTTAGTCAAAATGACAATTTTTGAACCATACCGTAGAAAACCGGCTGAATTTCGTGTCAGGTCGGGACACCGGGATATTACCTCCAAAAGCGGGACATGTACCGGAATTCGACGCATGGCAGCCCTACATTAGCCAATTTTTTCGAGTTTCAAGTGCAATGCTTACAACAAACATTATATTTTATAGAAACTACAATTAAATACGTGCACACATATACATTAGGGAATATGCGAAAATGCTTATGTGAAATGCTCCTGTATGTGCGTACGTGTGTATGTATGTATGTGTGCACGATGCATACATATATATTTTTTTTATACCCTGAACCCATTGAAAATGGGAAATCATTCTTGTCAAAATTGACCCTCCGCTCCTAATTCACCCCCTCACCCGCATATTTGCAAAAGGCTTATTTCAAATACTAGAGACTTGTGCTTTGGCAAATACATGCATATCCATTTTATATTCATAATCTGAAAGTTTCATGAAGATAGTCCATCCACAAGAACAATTAAACAATTAAGTTCCCATAGTAAGCCACCACTGCAGCCCATGCGTGTTTATGCCTGCGTAAGTATGTGTGTGTGTGAGCGAATAATTATTAAAATATCAGTTGCTCGCAGGGTTCAGGGGATCTCGTAGTCGAGCAGTCTCGACTAGAGCTTTCTTACTTGTTTTAATTCTTCGGAACACGCCCGTGGAATGAGAGGAAACGGGAGAGGGACAGTTGCATCGACGAGGATAGTTGCACCAATGAATTTCTACGGCTAGGCTCTGTCTCTGTATGTATGTGTGTATATGTGTGTGCGCGTGTGTGAGCGAGTGTGAGCGAGTGTGGACCTTGACGACGAGGGTAAGGCGAAGCACGAAGCAAATGCTTCTTGCCGGTGTATAGCCGTATGCCACAGCTAATACAAGCAGAAACGAAACAAAAAAGTTGCGAGCGAAAGAAAGGAGAAAATGAAAAAAATAACGGTCGAAGGCGAACAAAATAAAAATGGTTGCAAAAAATGTGTGTATGTACTTGAACATACGCACACACCCTCTGTGTTATTCGTTAGTTTCTTTGAAATGGCTGTGCGTCCTTCGGCATTTTCACACATACATATGTATATGTGTTTTGCATGGACTCTCTAGCTGTTTGGCTGCTGTATGTATGTGTGTATGTGTGTATTGTATACATTTGCTTTAGCCGAATTTCGTTTTTTGGTAGCACTTAAAATTTAAGATGTCTTTCGGAGGCCCGTCTTTTGCATTATATTTTCTTGATCAGCATCGTACACATAAATGTATTCATGTCTGTACCTGCATTCATATACATTCATATACATATGTAGATAGGTAGATATGTATATTGATTTATATGCACTCATATATCTCAAGAATATCATATGTATTAATGTATATCTGTAAACCAACAAAAATCGATACGGAAATAAGAAACTGTTTGAGGAAAACATAAATACATGTGAAATCAGTGTTTATTGAGTCAAACATAAAACTACAAAAGCATTTGGATCGTAGACTACGTTAATTGGTAATTGATGAGAAATAATAAACGATTATCATAAAAAAATTTTATGTAAAATAAAATCACGTAAAAACAAATACAAATAGACTTAAATGTTACACATGTGTGTGTGTGTGTGTGTGTGTGTGTGTGTGTGTGTGTGTGTGTGTGTGTGTGTGTGTGTGTGTGTGTGTGTGTGTGTATGTGTCGATCCAAATCTAGTATATTTCATTTAGCCAGACTATTGATTTTCCAGAAAAGCTTTTGTTGATAGTGGAAGACTCGAAATGAACTTAATATACATATATGGAAAGAAGAAAACCGGAACTTTAAGAACTTGGGAATACTCTTGGCATTAGGCGACACTTGATTTGTCTTTTCCACGCACTTAAGATAAGCTAAAAATATATATACATATATACGATACTTATTGGTATTGGATATTCATGTACATGGGAGCTCAGTTTTTGATTTGTCTGTGTGTGTGCGTGTGTTTGATGTCTTCAACGTGGAAGAGTACTATACACAACGGAAGAGATGCCAACTCACTCGTTGCAGGGTCGACCAACATTCTTCAAGGGTTCGTTCACTGATTGCGGCTGCGCTGCTTGACCTCGAAAGCTGAAGCTGTAAGGAAATAACAAGACGATAACATTTAGTTCACTTATGAATACTTCATATTTGTATAATAGCTAATCATCTTTATTTTTAATAATCCACAACAACCAAAAATATGTCAAAAATAAAAGAGTGAGAGTGCTCTAGTCGAGACTGCTCTACTAGGAGATACCCTGAACCCTGCCAGACGATATTCTGATCATTCTGCACTTTAAATATGTGTATATTCCAAAACACAAGTCTGTAGTACTTGAAATAGGTTTTTTTTTAATAAGGGCAGGGGGGGGCGAGGAGGCGAAGGGGGTATCCATAATCTGTAAATTACAAAATATAAATCTATATACACAATCTGAAGTCTCCAGGTCTAATAGTATTCAAATTAGGCTGAAAACCCCAAATCAATTTATCGATTATCTTCGATAAAACATATATCGGGTGAGCTACCGAAAAAGTATGATAAACAAAATGCAGAATTTCAGTTCTCTAGCTCTTAGAGACAGGCGGACAAGGCTATATCGACTCAGATCGTCGCCCTGATCAAGAATATATGTATGTATATACTTTCTGCGATGATTCCTTCTGCCTGTTACATACTTTTCACAAAAGAGATCAAGAGAAAGAAAGAGAGCGAGAAAGGAGAGAGCTATAGGCATATTATGGCCTGCTTCACTTTATTAATATCAAGAGAGACACATAGATAGAGAGTCCGAGCAAATGTGAGAAATCGAGAAAGGGGTAAAGAGATAGAGACAGAGAAAGAGAGAGACAAAGAAATCGAGAAAGAGGGACAGAGAAATAGAAAGAGCGTCCTCTTTGCTCTACTACAGTTACGAACTCCATATCAGCCGCACTATGAGACTCTTGAAAAGTAGACTTATTGCGGAAGACCTGTGTAAAGAATTTCCTCGTATATCAATGTGAAGCTGACTTGCCCAGGGAAATTCGTAAAATTGGCTTAAGGGTACCAAATCAAAAATTTTCAATTTGTTTACTCGAACCTAAAAAAGAAAAGCAAACATTACGTGCGTATCTCTATAAGCTGTTAGTGGGTTCGCTATATGTCTTAATAAACTTTTGATTTGATTAAAAAAAATTTTTTTTATTACATAT